AAGTGTGACCTTGACCTTTAACCTAGAGACCTGGTTCATGTGCGCGACACTGCCTCCTTATAGTGTGAACATTTCTATGAAGTTTTCATTAAAATCCCTCCATACATGTAGGAGATATGCTCCGGACAAAATTGGACGCCGCCCGCCCGCCCGCCCGCCCGCCCGCCAGGGCGTTCCCATAATACGTCCCGTTTTTCAAACGGGCGTATAAAAATGATATTTATATCTTTAAAATGTTTTATGGGTGTAATATAAGTCGCTCATAAAAATCATTGTTAAAATAAATAGAAAAGAACTTCAAGTTGGTATAGTTTTTTCTAGATTTTAAAACATGCAATTCATAAATGTTACGGCTTGAAAATATCGAAACATGTACATGTATAATTCGATCTTTGAAGACTATATCGCGGGGATGGTGGTTTTGCACTGTGATACGTATTACATGACTCTGTATCGCAACATCTCTGTATAGCAACATACCGGTATATCGCCATTCCGTTGCAACGCTACATTAATGTGTTCCTCTAGAATAAGGCTTACAACAATATATGACTGTTGAAGCGAAGACATGTTTATTTTGTTTAATATATGTATACATATTGAATATATATTTATGAAATAATAAATATTTAAGAGTGACTCGATTTGGTTTTTACTTTATTATTTGAAATACTCCAATTGTCAAGATAAAGTTCTTAAGCATATGACTTTACAGTTCCCGTTCACAATGTGAAATCAAACATGTTCTATTGCACAAGCCTGCATTTCGGTCATGTATAGGTGTCACTTGTATGTAAATGCATGCTTTTGATATTATCTGTTATCTCGAAAATACAGTTCTGTATACCCTGTCTAAAACCCAAAAATGCAATTCCGTATATCCCCTGTATATATTGAAAATACGATTCCGTATATTCCCTGTATATGTAGAAAATACGATTCCGTATATCTTCTGTATATGTAGAAAATACGATTCCGTATATCTTCTGTATCTGCAGAAAATACGATTCCGTATATCATCTGTATATGTGGAAAATACGATTCCGTATATCCTCTGTATATGTAGAAGGTACGGTTCCGTATATCCTCTGTATATGTAGAAAATACGGTCTCGTATATCCCTGGTATATTTATAGTATACTAGAGATAACAACCTTGATAAATTCCGTATACGGGATTCTTTTCTCCGTATACTTCAAAAGTACGAACAAATATACGTACATGTATATGGGGCAAATACGGAATTCCGTATATGCCTGATGCATATACGGACTTCCCGTATACCCGGTGTGCTCTATACGGACTCGTATACTTGGTCCGTATATTCGACAAATACATCCCGTACACGCCCGTATTTGTAAAAAATACGGGACCGTATATTCCCGTATATCAGTATATCTTTCGCAGTGCTCTTCATTTTATTTTAAATAATCAAAATTTATAAGTTTGAAATAAGAAAGAGAAAATCGGAAAGTTGTTTGAACGAGTATTATCATTAGAGATTATAGAAAATCTCTTCTTTGTACATATAAAAAGCACTAAACGTATCTAAATTAGTAACAGTATAATCATAACAACTCCGAAATAAGGATCAGGGTAAAAATTATTTACAGTTGCCACAAAATATCCACCTGTAAGTCTATCTTACAAAGATGTGTTTGTTCAACATATACACCGTATAAAACGTGTTACATTACTGCTGTTTTCGGTTACAGTATAGAATTTTCAAGATGGAGGATAATTTTCGATAAGACAGGTAGATGATTTTTTGTCAATACTACAAGTAGTTAAGTTTCTTAAAGATGTTTTTGAGCTTTACTCGTATCCGGCATCAAGTCATATATTTCCTCAGACCATGCACCACAGTATCATCCCTATATTTGCTCATAAATGTGCAGATTTTACACGAGATACCAATGCTTTTTTCTCACATTCTGACATTTTTAAAGCACGCCTACAATAATAAACTTACAAAACGTTAGATACTTGTGTTCAGAAACGTTTTTAAAAATAAATGACCGGTTGAACCTATTTTCCTGTTCGTCAAACGCATTTGAAATCAATGTTACAGTATAGTTCGAGGTGAATTTCGCAGAATTACAGTATGGACCAAGCGGCTTTTTGCCAATTGTGTTACATTTTATACCCATATTTCTTTTATATCTTAAATAATAAGCCAAACTAGGAAAATAGGATCAACTTGTCATTTACTGTTACACGATACGGAGATATAAGACATTTAAAGTTATAAAAACCATATTGGTGACGCTTGATGCAGATTGTCTTGACGGGGCAATTGGTTCAATCTTCCGTGTTACCAATGCTGATAATGTGTTAATGAATGAAGATTTGCCTGCTCCAACGGCACCCAAAAGCAAGACATTGTATTGATCGATATCTAAACCAGGTAGTGGTTTCATTTGCATGAGTTCTCTTTTCTTTTTTCTAAAAGCGTCGCCCTTCAAAAATAATTGGTGGTGTGATCAATTAACCATATAAATAAAGCAAAAATTAATTAATTGCAATGCATTAATCTGAAGCTGAATACTTTTGTTGATAGTATTTAAAATCATATGAGATAACAAGCAATGTCAGACTTATATATGTTAACCATTTAGAGTCATAATCAGCTATAACATTATTTTACATGTATATTGCAGGTTAATTAATTGGCCTAACACAAAATATACTCATATCTAATCTTTCAGGAATCTTTCAACATTTTCCTTGCAATAAATGATTTATAAAAATACCCAAATGAAACATTTCTATTGTAACAACATCAATGTTTAAAATGCCTTTGGAAAATGTATCTTTTATAAACAAATCCTCTTTAGGATAATAGTTGTTTTGTTTTATGAAATCCGGTCAATTAATACTTTTGTTCCAATTTTTGTTTCACTTAAAAACATTACCTCTATTCTTTCCAGCCAGTCTTTTTCGAACTCATCATCTAAATTATAGATATGAATGAAAAACTGAGAACATCGTTAATGGGGAAAAAACATACTGAATGTATTTAATATCTGCACAATATCGGCTTTTCATTTTCATCTCCAATGCACCTGTCCCATCAATGACTTTACGGTAAAAATGAAAGAAACCGCAGTTTGATGATTTAATTGAGATGAATGGATGTTGATTTTTTAACTCAGTAAACATGTTTAAACATATTGTCTCTGACCTTTTCATTTATGAACGAACAGAAAATCCTTGTCTCTGTTCTTCTGTCGTATATATAAACGTACTGGTTTCAACGTTACTTATTAAATATGGTTAATCACATTATATTTTGTGTGCATTATCTTTAAAATATCTTTGCGTTAATAGCTCAATGGAATTCTAAAAACTTTTCATTTCAAACAAGTTTGTAAAATCATATAAAATTTATGTGTATGAAAAACAAGAATAACAGAAGAATAACAGAAAACAACACACAAACAAAAACTAACAAAAATACAAACAGTTACCTGTGACCTGGTAGACCTCAAGTTTTCTAACTACCATACGTCCGGAATTGATATCACTCGCTTTTAGTTCTGTCACGCCGTCACAAACTTCATCGTCAGTTTTTTGCTTTACCACAGAATAGGAGAACTTTACGTTTAGGGAGCCATTTAATTTCAGAAAATCCCCTTTTTTCTTCGATTCTGGCTTTGAATCTTTTCTGAATGTCTGCAAATCATATCGACTTAACATTCCTAAACCAAATGTAGGTCCAAAATGTTTATCACATACTATTGCTTTCTCTGTCTGGTCCTTTCTAATTGGCAAGAAGACACATTTAGCATCTAAGCTGTCGTCCTTTTTAAAAAGGAATGCGTTTTCATCTTTGACTTTTTGCTTGTCAGTTGATCTCCAGCTTTTAGATGTATAGCCGCCAAATAGTGTATTAAATTTGCCATATAAGATAGTGACAGTTGGGCCTTTAGCGTCGCATTTCATATGAAACTCCTCTACATCTGCTTTGTCAGTAGTCTGGTAAAGCAACGAAAAGCCTATTTTCTTATTTTTGTCTTTACTTATTCGTTCACCAATTTCATCCAGAAGTTGTTTCGACGTACTCATTGTTTTGCTTAAAATATATAATTTGAAATACTTTTATTTAGAATAAAATCGTTTTGGATGTCCCGTCTTAAATATGCATCATGTCTGTATGATTTATTTATTTAGTTATTTAACACAAAGATTTCGACTTAAAATTTAATCAACAAACGCTATCTAAATAATATTGCATTGTCTTTTGGTTCATCCGTTTAATCTCAATATGTCAATATGGACATTACTACAAAGAACACAAAAGATTTGTATACGAAGCCAATCCTTTTGTAACGAAAATTTATCTTTAATTTCTTTTTCTTTATTTTCCTTCAAGATGGCTTCATTGAATTGCTTGCAAATGCCATTACCACCATGAACCAGCTAAAGAAACTTAGCTTGCAACGTTTTAAATTTTGGCGTTTTTGGCCTTTTTACAGGGTTAACATATTTTATTCTATAAATTAATATTTAAACTTTCTACACTTAAACATTTAAAATAATACAGTCACTGCATACATCTTATTTTTATAATTCTTAGGATCAGAGTTTTGAATGTGTCAAACTTCAGCAACAGTAGTAGTAATATGGCGATATCTAAGCTTTACTGATAGAGGAAAACAATATCTTAGGTGCCCCTCCGTGCATTTGTTTCATGTACTAATTATTTCAAATGTCTTGTTATCTTCATACTTATTGCAGATAAACAATTTGATTTCAAACAAAATTAAGGACACCATTTGCATGAAAACGAATATGTTTGGTTTATACAAAATTTATTTTAGTTCGACTGTGTAGTAAGTTATAAGCTTATAATCACACTTTCAAATTCGTTCCTGGAACCAACCAGTATTGAGCAAAGTTTGTGAAGTTTCTTGCTCCAGGAAACAACGACTTTCCCCTTGCATGATTTTTTCTTTCTAAAATTGGACATAATTTATTAACTTTATACTAAACAAATATCCCTGTACAGCTTGACTCACGAACTATTTTGATCCGTAAGGTCAAATTATTGTATTTACGCTGATACTGTTGCTTTATTTGTTATATGTAAGTGTATTTTACTTAAATTGTTATATTTTTGTTTTAATTCCTGAATTTGGTTTGTTCAGATAGCAACACTAAAAAATGCTGAATAGTTCGAAATGAGATTGAACTTTAAATTACTTTGATAACCAACGTCAAATTGTTACATTATTATTTCATTAAATTGACAGTCTTTAGTAAATACAAAAAAAATAAAGTGAGGTCGCATTATTTTGTTTTTGAAACAACTCGCAGAAATCAACCTTCCAAACAAGTTTCTATCAGGGAGGGGATATTTACTGAAAACGAAACCTGATCTACCTATTCTATATATTGACGGTTGTTTCTAACAGTTAATAAAATTGTCGCGGTTATACTAAGGGTTAAAACTGAAAATGAAATCGCATGCGAACAAATATGGTAAACAAACACTGTATGCCACTTTGTACAAGTGTTTTGGATACTTAATATCAACACGTTTGTGGTATTTGGACTTAAGTTCAGACCAAGGGATGAAGAAAACGCTAAAATCAAATTATAAAATCGGTTAAAAAAGCATATGTTTAGTTAAAGCTGTTTTTCAGATCCAAATCGCACTGAAAGAAAACAGACGCAAAAGCTTAACGCGTGATTGCTGAACTGTAATCAATTTTCGATCTGTTGTGGAAGAAAATTGTGTATACTTGGACGTTGAACAATTATAATCTAGAATAAGTACGCGAGAATGGAATAAATTTTTAAAAAAAGGACAGACACGGCATCGTGTATCGTGTATATCGTCTGGTGATAGAATGTATGATTAACATCCTTAAATTTCGAGCGATGGGTGAATACAAAAGGTTTAGGTGCAGATGTATGTACTTCTTTCCGTAATACATTTAAAAATGCATGTTTTGGAACCATGCAAAAGATAAAAAGCGTTAAGGAAAATGGACGAGAGCAAGGAGTTTATAGTTGCCATGGGAATTTAAAAGTGTGAAAATATGTTGTTACGACTAGTTATTTTTCTCATGTTAAATAGATTAATATAAAATGCATTGTAAAGCAGGTATTACTGCATTTGCAAGTTAAAATCGCAGAGGTAGATTTTAAAAAGATCTGGTTTACTGATAAAATCAGATTTGTATATGAGAAGTTGCGAGTTGCTTATTCAATTTAAAAAAAAGAATGTTATGCAATAATATTGATTAAAAGTGTCAAATATTGATAGGAAATCAATTAGTTTTGAATGTGAATATATTTGGTATTTTTCTACTCATTTAAGAAAATGTAAAACTCCTGTTGAATTTATGTTTATGAATGATATAAATCCTTATGTATATTTTGTTACTTATTATGTTTTATAATTTGTCAGATTAGATCTGATTTAACTGGTGTGTGTTTTGTTTTGTAAGAGCAGCCGCTTTTCTTTATAGATATACTATGCTCAACTTTAAGCTGAAATTAATTGAACTATATTACATTCTCTCTGAATACATCTAATTTGAGTTTAAAACAAGATTGCATTTGTAAAAAATGCTATTCCACCACATTAATACAACACTAAATTGTTTCTATACAATTGAAGATTGTCATAATGCATAGATCCCTGACCTATCTAATTCTTATTATCAGATTAGTGGTTAAATCTATTTTAATGCAAATAAAAGATCACAGTAGGAATATATCAATGCAGTTGAGTCTTGTGAATTTGGTGGAAAAGGTCATATTTCACACGGCCTAAATTTTATGACTACATCAAAGGACAACACAGTAAGACACTTCAAAAATCAAAATCTAAGTCAGCTGATATCAAAGTTCACTTTACATCTTAATCTGTGCACATAGTTCAAATTTCATAGCTGTACATCAAAGGACACAGAAGTAGGTCACATCATCAAAATCTAGGTCACCTGATATCACAGTTCAATTTTACAACTAAAACTGTGCACATGGTCAAAATTTCATAGCTGTACATCAAAGGACAAAAAAGTAGGTCACTGTTCCCTTGGGCAAGGCAAAATTTTGACCCAAGGGTTTAATTCAAAACAATCTTGATACAGGTCCACCAAACAACACTTCATGTCAAATATCAAAGCTGTAGCTTTCCCCAATTTAGAAAACATTTGTTTTAGTTTCTGTTTTTACTATGTGTACATAATGAGAATCAATGCCCCCGGAAGGGCCAATTTTGACACCAGGGGAAAAATTTGAACAACTTTGGTACAGGACCTAAAGATGATATCATATAGCAAACATCAAAGTTCTATTCCTTGTACCTTCAGACAAAAAGTTTTTAAATTTTTTACAATATATACATAGTGAAAATCAATGACCCTCGGGGCGGGGCCAATTTTGACCAAAGGGCTATAATTTGAATAATCTTGGTAGAGGTTCACTTCGCAAAGTAGCATGCCAAATATTTAACCTCTAGCTTTTGTCAATTCAGAGAAGAAGATTTTTCAAGTTTTTACTTTATACATATATTCTTATTTACAGATTTTTATTGATATGTTACAGCCTGGCAGGGACTCGAAGCCTGACACTCCAAGGTTCTCCCCGCTGAGGTATTCGGCCGCTTACACTTTATTCCCAAAAATACTGAACAGTTCTAAACCGTTAAATACTTCCCTGCAATATATGCAACTATTTTCTTGAATTTCCTAGGGTTACAGAGCAATGTGAATTAAACTCTGGGCCATATGGCAGTCAAAGCGACCCGAACTCGTGACCCTCAGATTACCGTACCGCGTCCCTACCGACTGAGCTGTCCGGCCGCTTACACCTTTTATGTGCTGAAAAGTGAACACCTCTTACCCATGACAGATACTGTTAGAAAGCTTTAAAAACAGGTAAATTAATTCTCAATTAACACGCATTGAAAAAAACTAATATACATGCACACATTCTTTTGACAAAATTTACTATTACAATTATATTACGAGTATTATAATATATATTTTTTTACTGAAATGGGATGAGACGTTTATTGAAAGTTCCATTATTTATACATGTATAGTTAAAACTTAACTAATACAGTGTACCGTTTGTATATTTTTGTACAAATAAAATAGTACATAATAAATTCTACGGTGGCTGATTTGTGCCATGTTGTACTTCTGCTTTGGTAGGCACCAGACGAAAACTCAAAAATACAACTAAGTAGTTTGGTTGTATTTTTGCCCGGCGCCAATGGCACTTTGTTGTTTTTCCATGTATTCGTAAAAATAATGATATACAAGAATATAACAAAAATTAATATTTTAAACTGGTCCGATACATCCCATAGAAAGGTGTAACGTGTCTAAATTATTGGTCCAAAGTGTCCAATGTATGGGCCGAAGTGTCCAAATATCCGGTTCGAAATGTCCCGAAAACTGTTCTGAAGTGTCCCAAATAATATGACAAACAAGGAAAGGCGGCGTTCAATGAACGCAACCCTCATACGACCCAGCAACAAGAACCAGTGGCAAGGAGCCCAGGTGGACCCAAAATAAATACAGGACAGGGCACAAGACAGAACACGGACAGGTTAATCACTAAATGATAAATAATTTGTAACTGATTAGGAATTCAAAGAAAACAAATAAATGATTGAATAAAAGGCCCACAAAGGTCACAGGGGAAGGGGCAAGAAAACCGGGGGAAGGGGGGGGGTTAATGAAAGAAATAAAAACTAGGGGTAAAGGGGAAAGATGATACTTCCCGTAAACGAGAAAACAACAAGGGACACACGCAAAAATGTCACCAAAACAGTCTGAAACAACATACATCTGAGGAACACAGAGGGGCGCCGCCTTGGAACAGTCAGCAGCATAATAATGAGTGCTAGGGAGTTTAAACCGGTTAATGGTGCACCAAACGTCGCTCTTAGCCCCACCATGTTCCTATAAACGAGACAGTGTAAATAAAATGAATCCCCGCCAAGTGAAATTCTAACAGTTGTTTTGGTTACAAAAGGTTAAATAAGTAAAACACCATAATGATCATGTAGAAACATATAATAGTAAACCCAAAACAAACAAAAGTACT